GGTCTTCCCCACTGGGCTTCTCCGGCTGCCAGTCACAGGGACGCAGGCTGCCTCCTCTCCCTCCTGCGGGGCGGCTGGTGGGTTCTATCTTCAGGTCTTTCAGTGAGGAGCCCAACACTTAACACACTACAGCACCGAGTGGCTTGTTTTGCTTCTTCTTGTTGTTGTTAGGTATTAGTGAATCAAGTACGATTCATAGCAACCTCATGAGTAACAGATGCGCACACTGTCCTGTCCTGTGCCATCCTCACAATCTCTGCCTCGGCTCAAGCCCTCTGCCACAGTCACCGTGCCAACCAAGAGGGTCTTCCTCTCTGTCACAATCCCTCCACCTTTCCAAGCATGTCCCTCTCCAAAGAATAACCTCTCCAAGCAACATTCCCAAAGTATGTGAGATGAAGCCTCATTCTCTTTGCCTTCAAGGAACACTCTGCACCATTTGCAAGACGTATCTGTTTTCTGGCAGTGCGTGGAAAACTTAGTATTCTTCTCCAACATCACAGTTCAAAGGCATCAAATCTTCTACCATCCTTAGTCATTGTCCAGCTCTCTGATGCATAATAGGTAATTGAAAAGACCATGACTTGAATCAGGCATATACAAATATTTTTGAGGGGAAAAATATGGATGAAGAACAAACACCATGTTGTTTTATTCTCACCACTGTTTCTTTGAGACCTAAGTCAGAACTCATTTGGGAATCACATTAAAAGTGTTCACTTTGCCTGGAGGACATTATGCTGAGTGAAATATCTCAGTCACAAAAGGACAAATACTGCAGTGTGCTACTGTTATGAAATGGGACGGACATTGGTGTTGGGGGGGAGACTGAGAAAGATGGGTTCAATAATGTATACTGTATTGAAACAGATGAGGGAGAGAACTGTTTAAAAGGAATATATCATTAGGTATTATTGTCATGACAGGAGTCCAGAACGAAGGCTGCATAGTGCAGTGGACTTGGGGGGAGGGATTGTATACCAATGGAAGAATTTTTCTTTTACTTTTCAAAGAGAAGAGTGAATTGGGGGAAGGGTGGGCAGGGAGAAAAGTGCAAGAATGAATGAATTAATGGAAATCCAAAATCTCTGTAAACTTTCATTAAAATGAAGAATAAGAATAAAGTTTCCACTTTATTAGTAAATAGCACTGATAACCCAAGATAGGGAATTTTCAACTGTTTCCTATGCTTTTGAAAGTTGGGCAATGACTGACTGACAAAGAGTTGATGCCTTTGAATGGTGGTGCTGGTGAAGGGTATTAGATATACAGACTGCAGGAAGAGCAAACAATCCTGTCTCGAGAGAAGTGCTAGGTGCTAGTGTGCTCTTTAGAAGCAAGGATGGCGAGACTTGGTCTCATGCATTTTGAGTGTGTTGTCAGGAGGTACACGCCCTTGGAAAAAGATCTCATGCTTCGAAAGCTGGAGGGTCAGGGAAAGAGAGGAAGACCCTCAATGAGATGGAGGACACAGTGACCACAGCAAAGAGTTTGAACAGAGCAGTTTGTGAGGCAGGTGCCTGACCAAGCAGAGTTCCTTCTGTTGTCACTGTCAGTTGGTATTGGTGCCCTCAATAGCACATAACGTCAACAAATGGCATGGAATGACACTTTAAAGTAGTTTTACATCATGCAAATTTTACTTTCATTTCCAAAAGGAATGAATCAGAAATACAGTTGAAAAGAATGTATATATTTTCTTTTTCTTTTATTTTATTATTTCTTGTGTGTGAACCTTCAAATTGGATCTGATTGGTACAGGAAGAGATTGCCCCCTCCTTCTCCAGCAGAGCATCTGGTGGATTCAAACCAAAGAATGGATATATTTTCAGCATTAAACTTGCTTTTGTTGTTGTTATGTGTCATTGAGTTGCCTGTGGCTCCCAGTAACCATATACACAATAGCTCTGAACCCTTCCCAGTCCTGAGCCAGTCTCACTGACTCGACACACCTAATACCATTGCCCCAGTTACTGTGTCAATCCATCTTATCCAGGGTGTTCCTCTCCTGTGCTGTCCCTCCAACCTTCCAAGCAGCATGATGTCTTTCTCCAAGGATTGGTCCCTCCTGGCCACATGCCCAAAGTATGTGAGAAGGAGCCTTAAAATCCTAGCCTCCAAGGAGCAACTTGGTTTCACCCACTCCAAGACAGATGTATTTGTTTTCCTGGTGGTCTTGGTATGTTTAATAGTCTTCTTCAGCACCACAACTCAAAGGCATCAATTCTTCTTCTGTCATCCTTAGTCATTGTCCAGCTCTCTGATGCATAGAAAGTAATTGTGAAGACCATGGCCTAGATCAGGCACACCTTAGTCTCTAGACTGACACCATTGCTCTTTAGCCATTTGGAGAGGTTCCTGACAGCTGACTTCCCTAATGCAATTCATCTTTTCGATTCCACTATGCTTGTTGTTGTTATGTGCTGTTGAATTGCTTGCGACTTATAGAGACCCTATATACAACAGCCCTAAACCCTGCTCTATCCTGTGCCAACTTTACTGGCTTCAATACACTTACCCTTATTACCCCAGTCAGTATCAATCCATTTCATTGATGATAACCCTTTCTTTCTCTGTACCTCCACCCTTCTAGGCATGATATCCCTCTCTAAGGACTGGTCCTGCCTTGCAACATGCCCAAAGTATGTCAGACGAAGCCTCAGAATCCTTGCCTCCAAGGAGCAGGCTGGCTTCACCCTCTCTAGGATGAACCTATGCTTAGAGATTTTAATATTTCTAAAATCAATAGCATTGATCATTTGAATTATTGCAATGGTATCTACAAATCTCCTGGTTTCCCATTTTCCCTGATGCCACTTGGGTCAATTCTTAAAAAAAAAAGTTGAAATTGCAGCTCTTTTGTTACCCATATATTGCAGCAATTTTTTTTCAAGTCCATTTTGGAAAAAAAAGGAAATAAAACCAGAAGAATTTTAGACCCTTTGTAAATGTAAAGACATAACTAATGGCTACCCAATTGCTAATGTCCCTTACAGACTTCATTTTAACCCTCACGCTGATTCTGCCAGAAATAGGTATCAATGCTCCCTCCCCTAGGGACCAACCCAATTTCTCAAAAGTCTTCTGCTTATTTTTCAAAACAGGAGAAGGATAGCTGGGTTTGGTGATAAGAAGATGAGGCTGATTAAACAGTTAAACCATGTCTGTTGGCTCAAGTGCTTACACTGCACTGTATTATCTGCCATGTGAATAGTTAACCTTCCCTGAAGTCACAAGCATGAAGGAGGACGAGGACAGCCATCGTGGGGCTTGGGGCCCCTGCTTTCCTCTGGAGTTTTCTAATTGCTCTCTGAATTTGGGGCTTGGGAGCATGTACGTGTCACAGAAGCTCATCACGGTGGAGTTTCTTTTGGATGGAGGAGTTTCATGGAACCCAAGCTGCATTGCAAAACAGGTGCAGACCAGTGAAATATCTTAGGATGGAATAAAACCTTGGAGCTTGCCACTCAGACCTGAGATTCATGGTGGTCTTGAACAAAATCCAGTTTCTAAACAGAAAAGATTTTCTAGACATGTATTATATAGTCAAACTCAAACACCTTCAGTGTATGCAATTATCAATAATAACTATCAAGGATGGGATACATTGTTGAAACTATATGATTTGGTCAATGTATTATAGATGATAACTTCTTACAGACCAAAAATAAGGGGGAGAAATCAGACATAACCCTAAAAATGTATCATCAACGCATAGTCAACAATTAACATTAAAAAGCCAAACATCCATGAATGAATGGAAGAAAAACAAGTGAAAACAAAAACACAATGAAATAAAATTGTGATAATTGAAAAAAGAGGTTCATTCCTAGTATCTTGAAATACACAATACCAACAATCTTCGACGATTGACTGTTAGTATTCTCACCAAGACACTTCCAAGACAAGCCATAGTTATACGTGCTGACCAAGCAGACAAACGTCATTCTCAAATTGCTTGAAAAACCCATGCAGACCAGCACAATTAAACATTACCAAGAAGAAGGCATATTGATTCAATATCTAAATATCTGACCCGCCTCTGTTTATTTGGTTTTAGCAGGCCAAGGGGACAGCCTGCATTCAAGACAGGATTGCTTAACCCATTCGCAATACTATTTTGTAACACATACTTTCTCAAAATCCATAGAATACATGTTTACATATTTCTCTGTAGAATCAAAAACAAACAGCAATGCATTTGCTTTTTAATGGAGAGAAGTTAATAGTTACCAGCCTGATATCTGTATTTCCTCAGTGTTCACAAAAGGAGTTTAGTGGTGCAGTGGGAAGCGCTAATGCCAGGTGAAAGGTGGAAGGCTTGCACCCACCAGCGCCCCCAGGAGGTTAAAGCAGGGTCTGGTTACCTGTCCCCCTACAGGTGTCAGCCTAGGAAGTCCTATGGGGCTGTACTGCTGTCATCTAGACTTGTGAGTCCGAAGTGACTTGAAGGCTTGCAACAACAAAGCTTTCGTGGACAACACATTCGGCTAATGTCTTTTTTTTTTGCAAGTAGATCACCACACCTTTCCCCAAAGCATCTGTTGATGATTTGTTTGTTCTTCGGGATGTCCATGGTGTTTTCAATATTTCTCTATGATACAACAATTCAAGTATTCATAAAGCGACAAAGAAGAGTAAGGGTAGAAGAAGAAAAGGGGGTCAATGAGGGAGAAAAGGGAGAAAGAAAAAGAGGGGGTATAACAGGAAAAGAAAGAGGGGAAACAGGAAAAGAGGCAGAGGAGGAGGACCAGAAAGCAGAGGAGGAGGACCAGGAGCAGAGAAGGAGGACCAGAAAGCAGAGGAGGAGGACCAGAAAGCAGAGGAGGGAGGACACCTCCGGAAATGCTTTCCCTTTCTTCCTGTCAGAGCTCAGGGTCTGTCCTTATTGAGAGGACCACTCCACGGTGTCTTCAGGTAGAAAATCCTCTCATTGATTGTGAGAGGCCTCAGCTACTGAAGGTGGCATTGCGGAGTTGCCAGACTGTTCCTCAATCAAAATGATGACCAGAGGTCTCAAGGTAGCTGCGTGCCAGAAGCCCCAGATGAGGCCTGTGATGAAGGAGGGATCTATGCAAGAGCGTGCCAGTCAGAGGGAGAAGTCCACCCTGCTAAGGAACAGACTTGATCCTAAGAGCTCTCGCCAGCGTTTCCAGAACTTCCACTATCCCGAAACAGCAGAGCCTCTCTATGCTGCCAATCTGCTACAGGAATTTTGCCGGCAGTGGTTGAGGCCAGAGCGCAACTCAAAAGAGCAGATCTTAGAACTGCTGGTGTTAGAACAGTTCCTGACCATTTTGCCCAGTGCAATCCAGACCCAGATGCAAAAACATCATCCACGGAGCATCAAGGAGGCCGTGGCCCTAGTCAGACGCTTTCAGGGAGAAGTTGATCAATCAAGGAATGAGAGTTTGTTGACCTTTGAAGATGTGACCCTGACTTTTTCTCAAGAAGAATGGGAGTTACTGGATCTCCATCAGAAGGTCCTCTACAACGATGTGATGCAGGAGAACTATGAAAATGCCATCTCGCTGGGGTTAAAGCTCAAAAATGACACTGGAAATGATCAACCTGTATCTCCTCAGTTAGAATTACAAGCACCAAAAGGCAAAGTATTACAAAAAGTCAAAGTAAAAGTTCTCAAGAAAACAGCTGGCAGAGAAAATCATGGTGACCAAAGGGTGAGGAAGCGATATCGGAATTTTCCAGGAAGGAAGAGAAAGAAACAGTCAACATGTAAGAGGGACTTGTCAAAATGTTCCGCTCTTCCCAGGAAATTCCACCCAGAGGAGAAGCCTTTTACATGTCAACAGTGTGGGAAAAACTTCCGAATGAACTTTGAACTTACTAGTCATCAGAAAATTCACAGTGATGAGAAGCCCTATAAATGTCAACAATGTGATCGAAGTTTTAAGTGGAATTCAGATCTTAATAAGCACCTGATGATACACCGAGGACTAAAACCCTACAAATGTTCATGGTGTGGAAAAAGCTTTAGTCTTAACACAAATCTCCACACACATCAAAGAATACATACAGGAGAAAAACCCTTCAAATGTTATGATTGTGGAAAAAGATTCAGTCAGAACTCTCATCTTATTAAGCACAAGAGAACCCACACAGGTGAGCAGCCCTATTCATGCAACATATGTAACAGAAACTTTAGCAGACGGTCAAGTCTACTCAGACACCAGAAACTTCACAACACAAAGGAAACTTGTCCCCTTCCCCCAGTCTGAATAACGTCACTATATAGACCTTGACACTGGAGAGGTTAGGGCGATAAAAACACATCATCAATTACCAATTATAATGTCATCAATTGCAAATTTGTAAGGTAGTAATGTCATGCCTTACTGAGTGAAATTCTAGTTGTCAGTGTGTTCAATAATTTTATTTTCAGTGCCTAATACAAGACTGATACATACTGAATTCTTTATATAAGTAAGTGAATGGAAACATCTAAATTGTGTTAGAGCCTGTATTCAAAAACTCAAACTCATTGCTGCAGATTCAGAACCAACTTAGCTGACCCTCCAACAGGTTTTCCCAAGGCTTTAAATCACATTGGAGGAGATTTCCCATCTTTTCTCCTTAGAGCAGTTGATGAATTCAAATTTCAAGGCGTTGGGTTGCTAGAGCAACTCCTTACTAAGCCTCAGAGAAAGATTTTAGGGGAAAAATATTGAATGATGCAGGAAAAATAAAAACCAGATAGATGGCATTTCGTGTGTCATTGGACCAAGAAGCACCACCTTTGAGTTAGCTACACGGTTCCCTATGGATGATGCCACTAGAGTGCGTATGTTGTTGTTAGGTGTCAACAAGTACGCCTCATAATGACTCTGTGGACAACAGATCTGCACCCTGTCCTGTCCCATCCTTGTCATCTTGGACTCACTTGAGCCCCTTGCCGCAGTCACTGTGTCAGTCCATTCTGTTGGACTTTCACTGACTCTCCCATCTTTCCAAG